TCTGCGAGATAGAGTCAGAAAAACCCTGTCTGCTAAACCCACATTCTTATCAACAACCTGTGCCCGTGCTTGAAATGATATAGTGATGTTCACGATCAAGCCTGTAACCTCGCAGGTGTAACATGTGTTTTGGTACCCTATGCAAAAGTGTAAACATTGTGAAATGCAATGTGTTTCAAATCGTGCAATTTCATCAGTGCCTCTGTAAAAGTTTCTGCAACTCTCTCCTTTTCTAAATACCCTCTTGTTTGTCTTGGATGCCACAGCAAAGTTTTTCCCTTTTGTTTGCTCGCAATTTGTTGTTTTGCCTACGTAGACAACAGCCAATTTTTCAGAACGTGGTGTTCCATCTGACCATAGGCCTCCCTTGCCATCAACGACTGCAATTTAAAATAAATGTAGCTAATGCTCCTGGAAAATTAACGATACTTCCTGGTTTTATCTCAAACGCTTAATAATGTGCTAGAATGCTGCGAGGGTCGTGAAAATAAGACATCTGCAGTCGCCATTTCGAATTCAAAGTTTTGCAGTTCCACAACAGATCAGAAACAATAGCTAGCCAATCAACTACAGGCTATTGTACAGCTCTCTTACAAATATGGTATCAGTTCCGAGTTCAAGATGCTGTTTTGACTGAGTTCCATCCGTGTTCCAAACAAAAATTCCATTGTTTCAATTCATTCACTCCCGAGGCACAAAACGTTAATTTCCGAGTTCTAGGATTGACTGCTGTTGTCCTCCACAGCGTCTGGAAAATCGTTTAAAAATCACGACAGAGAAGAAGGAAGGAAAAGGACGAACGAATTACATCAAAGTGGCAATTCTAAAATTTTGCGATAAAACTTATGATTTCAAGGATTAACCTTTTTTAGTTTAAATATTACTTATTACAGGCAACACTATTTCTAGCTATATGTTGGTAAACTGACTGAGTTCTGTGAACCAAGGAACTCACTATGGATCCGCCTTTGCATCGTAGTGTAATGTTATGACACGTTAATCAAGCCGGAGCATATTTAAGCATCTCACACCACGTGTGTCGCAAATTTCAAATAATGGTTTCTTATCTGGTCTTATCTTTGCGAGCAGCTTCCGTTTAAATTCACCTAACGTATTTGACTCACGAACATCTTTTGGTAACGCATTGCATTCAAGGAGCACATTTTGGAAATATGTGTTGAAAAAGCGAGCAGTTCTGCAAAAGCTGCATCATATTCATTTACGTTTCTAAGAGAAAACAAAACTTCACGAGCAGCAGGAATTTCATCAAACAGATACACGGGTTGGTGATTTTTACGCAAGTCAAAGAAATGGCACAGCCGCCTAAGTCACATTCTATGATACAATTCTATCATTTTTCCAAAATGCTCGCTTTTCCAACACATATTTCCAAAAAATCTTCCCATCCTAGTTCATTATAGAGCCTTTGCCTACTTGTACCTCTTCATGCACCAGTTATAGCAAGAGCTGCAGAAAACAGTGTTTGTTCAAGTCTTTTTGTGACATCAAGGGTCATGTGTGGATCATGTTTGTGATATCATCGTAACCAAGATCTGATTACGTCTACGTTACATCAGAGGGGGAATAGGGTCTGATAAAGTTTATAGATTTGGTCAAGCACAGTACGTGAAACATACTTAGACAGAAATTTTGTCATCCCTATTCCCCTTCTTGCCTCAAGAATAGCCTCTCGAATATGACTCTTGAAGTCTAACTTTTCACCCAGGATTATACCAAGATTTGTAATCCTCGGTATTTCTTGGTATCATTACCCCATGCGCAGATTCGATACTAAGTCATAAAATTTCGAAATGTGCAAATCTCATATTTTCTTCACTTTAAAACATAAAACTTAAACGATCGCGTGTTTTCTTGACAATAGCGACACTTGACTTATATGTCAACAACTTCTGTTTATTATCTACAATGCCTGCCAAAAGTACTTGGAACACCCACCAATTTACGCTGCATTTGATATCTTGTTGCATTTGATAAAACAATGTTGATGATTTAGAGAAATATCATAAAAGAAGCGCAAAAGAAAGTGCTTCCTAAAATCCTAATCCGTTTGATAGTAAACCAACATTGTTCCGTGGGGGAGAGGGGGATGATTGGTTTTGACCTTGGAAATTGATGTCAGTGTTCCAAGACTTTTGGCAGGCATTGTATCACACATACAGTAGGCATTAAGCATCTATTATTATCTTTAAACTAAAGGTTGAAGGTCATGTCCCTACAGATATTATGTTCAGTTTTCCTGATAATCTTTTCGCTACCAAGATTGAGAGTCGGATGCTGATGTTTTACCTTTTCTCTGGAAAAAATTACCTCTTCTGTCTTCTCGGCATTAAATTGCATCTTCCATTGCCACGTCCACAGGCTAACACGTTCAAGATCACGATTCAACTCTAAACTAGTTCTAGCCTCACCTTTAACAACCTAAAACAGTTATGTGTCATCAGCAAAGAGTTTGATGTCACAATTTACAATTTCAACGAGGTCGTTTATATAGATTAAGAAGAAAAAGGACCGAGAACCGGCCCTTGTGGAACTCCCAATTTGACGGTTTCCCAGTTCGAATATTTCCCATTTAAGACAACTCTTTGCTTCCGATTGATCAGGAAACTTCGCGTTAAGGCTAATAGGTTACTTGATATTCCACTGCTTTCAAGCTTGTACAGAAGACCATCATGCCACACTCTATCAAATGCCTTGGAGAAATTCAAAAAGATAGAACGAGTTTCTTTACTAGGAACGCTCTCGAATGCACAGTATATCTTATGAGTAATTGCCAATAGCTAGTTGACAGTTGAATCACCTGGGTAAAAACCAAATTGACTGGGAGCTAAAAAGCCGTTATCACAAAAGTGCTTATATGATAGAGTCGAAAAAGACTTTCTCAAACCTTTAACCAAGGATTGGCAAAAGCGATATCGGACGATAATTTTTCTGATTCTGTCTACTATCCTTTTTATGAACAGGGGCTTTTTCCATACTGAAGGATAGATGCCTGTTTCAATACATTTTTCGAAAAAAAGATACAGTGGTTCAACATAAGAAGAATCGCATAATTTTATCATGTCTGTTGAGATCCCGTCCCAACCATGAGCTTTATCACTCTTAAATGATCCAATTAATAGAAGTACCTTTCCTCTGTCTATCATGAGATCATGCAAAGTTTTTTCACTTCGTGGAAAAAAGGTTGAAAGTGTGCTACCAGTTGTTATAGTGGAACACTGTTGAACAAAAGATTTATCAAGTATTATGGCCTTTGCTTGCAGACTTGTGACAAATATACCATTTTGGAGATGAAGGGGAATATTTATCACTTTCTTTTGAATAATCTATTGAATACGCCTAATATGCTTTTGGTCCTTGGTCACGATCTGTAAGCTCACGACCAAGATTTTCAAATATTTTTCCTTTGCATTAGCAATCATTTTCGATGTATCGTTTCGCACCCCCCTAACACAATCCCAGTCTTCCTGTCCTTTGCCACGTCTAATATATTTACCAAACACTCTGTGTTTTCGTTTAATCGCCGTTTTCAATTCTTGTGTCATCCATGGTGGATCTTTATCGTTGCACTTGACAACTATATTAGGAATATGTACTGACATTATGGAGGAAATTTCATTTGTAAACAGTTCAGTCATATCAAACTGAGATGCCCAGTCAACGTTGCTTATAGCAATTTTGATTGCCTGATCGTTACGTTCAGCGTACTCCCAAAGAGTTGTTATGAAGGAGGGTAGAGAATAGAAATACTTGTTTTGCCATAAACAATTTGATGTTGACAGTGGTCATCAAGGGAGGGATGGACACCAGAATCAATGAACATGTTAGGTTGATCAGTAATTATAAGATCAATGCAAGACATACCCTCATTAGTAGGCACATTTTTCAGCTGACAGAGATTATTTGTTTTGATCAATTCATCCAAGGCGGTTCCTTCGAAATGCTTAACATCCTGGGGCCACCACTGGGACGATGCTTAAAGGCATGTCTATAGGGGGTAATTTAGTTTCGGTGTGATCATTGCTGTTTCATGTGAAATTGGCATCCATTGTTGACAACTTGCTATTGATGGAAACTGTACGAGGTGAGTTCATGTGACCAGTTTAAGGTCAACCAATAGCATCGCAGTCATGAAAATCGTGACTCATTGGGTATACCCGATCCATTTTATCATGACTCAATGCCTTTAAGACTGAACTATAAGATCAGTTTTTTCGTCAGTTTTTGCTCATCAGTCAAAATATGTGGCGTTTTTTTGACTGACGAGGCAAAACCATAACCAAAAGTCTGATGTGCTCAACTTTTTAGTCAAACTGATCAGTCAAAGCTTCATCCAAACCGGAAAGCAGTGGTTATCACACTAATTAACGGATTATCTACGTATAACGTATTTTGAGTGAGCAATGAGGCCAACTTTTTAAAGTAAATCTGAGTAAAAACAAGCTTTAACATGGCTACGATAACGGAAAAAGTTGAGCAAAGATGAACATCTCGTATCAAGGCCAACAGTTCATCAAAATTCTCTGGTTTCATCCTTAAAAACTTATTGTATTCATCCTTCTCCTGTTGGTGAAATTCCCCCAACAATGTGTCATACATATACATTCCAAGTTGTGAACGTTTTTGTTTCCATGGTTTTACTCATGTTGACCCCTGTTTTCTTCTTCTTTCTCGTTTTAAAATTTTGGCAATAAAGACTGCAGCTACAGCACGTTCTGTGTCGCTATCCATCGCAAAACTGAAAAACTGAAGAATTTTGACTGATCGCGTAAACACGTGCTCCTTCAGTTAAACTGATGAAAAAACGGATGTAAAAATTCTTGGGAAAAATTGACAGAAAAATCTGATCGTGTATTTCAGCCTTTATTCTTGTTTTTCTTTCATGTTTCGAAGCAAAAGCTTTTATGCTAAGAAAACTTTCAGGGGAATTTTTATTTGATAGGCGGAAAAATTTCCACCTTTGTCGTATGCTACCACCTTTGTTCTTCAAATCGAGGCAAAGATTGAAACGCTGAAAAGTTGAGAAAGAAAGAAAACTAAAGCTAGAAGCATTTTTGTAAAAATATCAAAGATGAAAGAAGTACAAGAGTTCCTCGTTTCCAAGCAGCAGTCAGATCCAGAGCATTCAGAGCAATGGGGGAGATTTCAGCAACTCTACGACAAAAGGTTTGGGTCGCTGTCTACTAGCTAGCGCTAGCGTACAATCAATGGCCTAGATAAAATATACTGTTTTCTTTATTTTTTTTCAGGATATAGTTTGCACGGCCCCTCGTAAAATATAAAATGGAACATTTTATTGTTATCAGTTTAACTTTAAGTTTCAAAATAGCAAAAATTTCACCAAAGTGCATCAAGATTATTCATATTCATAGACTTTTAGTGTTTGATGCAAATTAAAATTCAGATAGCTCACTCCAAGATTGGAATTTTTTAAAGATGCACAGGTTGAAAAATGCACAGGGGATCTGATGTGAACAACACTTAATGTTGAAAATGAAGATCTCCAAGAGTTTCCTGTTTTATCAAGAATAGATTCGTTTTTATCCAATAATTTTGCATTGTCCTAATTTCATAGACATCTTTAATCATTATAGACAGAAGAAGTTCGTTTTTTCTCTTTGTCTCCAGTGGTAATTTTCTATAGACATGCAGCACTGATTGGACAACTATGCCAGTCATGTGCTTGTGTTTTTCGAAATTGGCCTTTTTTGATCCACAAACGGGTATATATTTTTCATCGTGTTCTTTCAGACCCTTATTCTAACATTGTATACTCTGAGGAGTGTCAGACGAAATAGCTTATAGTAGTATGCTGTGAAATGTTTTCTTCTTTCAAAGCCATTTCTTAATTCTATGTAAGCTTTGGAATAAGGGCATGCTTGAATGGAAGTACTAATATTTTTTAGCATTCACTTTAACTTCTTGCATAGCATCGAGCATTTTTGGACAAAAAGCTACATTTGTAACTAGATTTAACAGCATTGTTCCCAATGAATAAACCATAAATCCTTTATTTTTTATTTTTCAGGTATTTAAAAAAATATTTCAATTTTTAAAAAAGTATGCCAAGAATTTGACTTCTAGTACAGAATTTTTTCAAATAAAATTAAAAAATTTGAACATATTCTTCTTAATAGTATGAATAGTATGAAGCTGCTAAATAAAGTGAGCCAAGTATAAATTTCCTGGGTAATGACATTTTGATATTGAGATTTACCAATGTAACAATAAATTAGTTTTTGAAAATCTATTTATTCCAGACATTTAAAAATAATTCTTGATTTTGCAAAATTGATAATTTTTCTTTTCCTAAAATTCTACTCTATTATTTTTTGTAGAATAAGATCAAACATTTTCATATTATAAAAAGCATAAATTTACAGTAAAGAAAGCATTTCTAATGAGTTTTAGGATTTTATTTTCTCTCCAAAGCATGTTGCATATGATTTTCATTCTCTTTTGTAGGCTTTGGCACGAACTAACTATTGAAATAACTGAATTCTTAAAAGAAGATTTTTTCAAACAAAATGGTGGCCTTGTTGAGGTAACCTAGTGCAGTAAATCATTTTGGATTATCTGTTAATATCAATTTTTATATGCACATTATTATATATAAATTATTATTATCAAGCAATATATTGTGACTCCTGCAATATGATATATTTGCCAAGTATTTCTTGAACTTGGTTCTTCATAGGAAATGGGTAATTTTGTCACTTTATGCTGATGTTTTAGATTTAAACCTGGTAAAGTTTCAAGTTTCATATAATCATCAATTCATCCAACATACAATTCTAACAACTGAAGATGGTAAATGCATTTAATTTTAAAATAGTGTGCATCACCAGTTGTGTTGGCTTAACTTAGAACAATTATTGTTTCAGATCTATGAAAAATTCATAAAGGACTTTGAGCATAGGTAAGTATTCAAACTCCACAAATAGATGGTTATCCTACCTGTAGATGTTTTGAGGCTTAATGTCAAATTATTGTACCAGATATCACCATCTTCAGTAAGTGGAATGATCCACTAATTGATAGTCAATTAGTAAATTTAAACTTCAGATTTCTTGATGGGCTCTTTGATCTGAAATACATAAAAAACTTTGCAAGTGTTTCCATCAGAGCCAAGCTGTATTGTGTTTGTTAATCAATTTGTTATTTGTTTCAAGAAAAATATATATTGGATTAAAGCTAAAGCAGTTTTTGATAATAGGTTGCTGGTTTAAAAACACATTAGCAAAAGTATGTAAGTTCTATAGTTAGTTACCAGATTATTTTTCTAACTCCAGGTTGAATCCTTTGTCCCTAACAGAGATGATACTTATTGTCGCTCAAGAACTAAAAGGTAATTTATTGAAAATTATACTATAAACATCAGTGGAAAGTAGTAACTTTATAAATTTTCTTTTAGCATAAGTTGTTACTTTGTAAATTTTTATTTGGAGAATTCCAAAGTATGTTGTCTAGACAGATAATTTTCTGTCAAGTATTTGAGTTCTGGGGCTCTATGTCAGAAAAGGTGTCTGCTGGATTCATAAAACTATGTACATCTAATATTTATTATACATCATCAACACACCAAATTTAAAGAAAACAAAAAATGAAATGTTAAAGAAAATACAAGGACAGAAAGCAGTGGGACAAAACTTTTATTATCCTGGTATCAATTTGAAATTTAAGTAACAAAGCCTCAAAGTAAGCAAATTCTTCTGTTTGCCTAAAGCCTTAGAACTTTCAATCACTAAAGGTAGCACTATGTTTTGGCACTTACATCTAAATTATTGAAAGCTTAATGATTTCCACTTTAAAAAATCAGGTTTGAAGCCAAACATCATTCGAGATGTAACTCTAAAATGGACTTGAAATGTCAGGGGAAGGTTTAAGTTTTGCTTTTGAACTAACCAAATGTAATAGTTGACTGTGAAATTGCTCACTTATAATTTGTTTTGCGTTTTGCACTGGATGATCTCTACTTAGTTTTCATTAACAGATTCTTAAATTTTCCTTGACACTTCAAACTATGTTTACATTTTTATCATTGCAGACCCAGAAGACAAGCTGAAACTTTTTGAAAAAACAAAAGAGCGGGTATGATATCAACAAATTTTAGCTTCTCAAGTAAATTGTTCCCCATTTTTACCACAAGCACATTTTGCCAAAGGAAGTATTTTTAATTAATTAACAATTAGACATAATCTCTCTGTTAAGTTATACAAATTACTGTATGATAAGGTTTGATTATCAATGTTGTTCAGTTGTACGTCAAATGAATATAATAAAAAAAATTAATGTAATAAACATGTAAACACAAGTAGTGAAGGTATTGCAGAAGGAATACAGCATAGATTGTCAGATAAGATGAAAACATGTGAGGGGAGGTGGAAGCAAATTCTATTCTGAACTCCTTATGGTTGCTATATAGCTAATCTTTTGACTCTACATTCTCTGCTTTCTTTTTATTCATTGCTCTTCAGTCCAATTCTCTATACCTGATTAAGAGTTTTGCTCAAAACATCCCAATAGTATTCAACTATTATGTACAAAGTTGTGCTTTTATTACACTAATTTTTTTTATTACTGTATCATCAGTTTGATTTGGAAGTTTTTCTTGCATTGAGAGACTTGCCATTGCTAACTCCAAAATAAACTATGGCAATGTATATTTCTTTTATTTGCCAATAATAGACTGTTTGTATTTGCTAGAAGACCAATTTTATTATCTTTTATTATTTAAATGTAATACATGATCAGTGTGTTTTTTTCTTTGAAAAGGTAAAAAGCAATGCAGAAGGAATTGTGTTGTTATTAACATCTATTGGAAGAGTGAAACTTGAGACCAATCAAATGGATGACGTAAAAGTAAATGTTTTTCTTTCCTTTATTCTTTGGTGTCACTAACAAATCTCAAAAATTTACAGCTGGTATGTTATCCAAATTAAAACTTCTACTCTTTATTGCTCAATTATCCAGCCATCTATTTCTCACTTTATAATTCTAAAAAAGTTATGCTAAATATTTGTTTAAAATTTCCTTTTTAATCTTAAACTTGTCAAATTTTGTGTAGTCAAGAACATTATCTGACTTCTTCTGCTTAAAATTTGATGTATGAACTCATGTTTCAAGATAATGATATTGGGTTACTGAATTTTATTTGAGATCATGTTTCTTGGATTTAATTACACTATTTTATCTTTTATATTTTCTTTTAGACTGTAATAAACGAGGCTCAAGCAAAACTTGACTTGTTTGACAACATCACCAGTGTTCATGGAAGATTTTATGATTTGTCTAGCAACTATTTTATGGTAACTTTCTAATTACTTTGTTTACTATTTTTTTCATTTTCTGAATACTTTGTTTATAACTAGTAATTTCTAATTAATAAGTATTATGGCAATCTACCTGCTGCCAATATTATACTGAGCTCATATTCAAAATTATTTTCTTTATCCTAAAATAATTTCCTACTCTTATTTCTGGAGAAAACAAATTTGACAATATTTATGAGAAAGGATTACTTTTGTTACAAATTTGTCAACTGAATAATTTTTCAGATAATATATATGCTGCTAAAAATTGATATAGTTCTTAGAATGACAGGAAAAACAGTTTTCTTCACTTTGTTTCTGTTACCCTTTATTTTGTTGCAATATATTTTTATATTTACAATCTATATTTTCTTGCAGAGGGCAGGGTCATTCAATAAATACTATAGAGATGCTCTTAGATATCTTGGATGCATGGATTTTTCTCAGCTTCCCAGTAAGTAGCTGGTATTGGTTGTTGAAGTAAGCCTCTAAATCATTTCATTCTCCTATATGCACCCTTCACTTCCTGACAAGCAATCTTGCAGACACAGCAGTCAGATTTAAAGGAAAATGCATCATGACACGAGATAACATGTTATTTGCCATATTTGTTACTTGCCTCTGAATAGAGTGTCAAAGAACTGAAGTATAAAGGCTCCAAGTCTATAAAGACTCCAAGTGATTTTATAACAACAAAATGGTGGCAAGACTTGCTTTATTCATAACATTTGTTGTAAGGCTGGGCTTTCTTGTCTATCTGATGTGGTGCCTTGACCTTTTTATGACATTAAGACACCATTTTTGGATGTATCTTGTTATATGTCTTTTTTTGCTTCTTTGAAGAATCTGAGTTGCAACAAAGAGCTTTCAGCTTGTCTCTCGCTGCATTACTTGGTGATGAAGTTTTCAATTTTGGGGAGTTGGTAAGTATGTTAAAAGAGATTTTGAAAATATTATTGTATGCTGAAAGAGAAATTTGTGAAATATCTGTTGTTGTCTTAGCTTGCATATCAATTGTTTGGTTCTAAATCTGCGCAAATAGCTTCTGATGAATTAAAAATTCATTGTAAAATTTGTGAGATGTTGTAGATTTTTTATTTGTCACTATTTTTATTTGTTTGTTTAGGGTCACTAACAGCTTTCTAACGAAGTAGAATTTATATGCTGTATTTTCATTTAAAAATATGTACGATCAAAACTCATAGCTAGATGCTATCAAGATCACACTTAATTTTCAAATTATATAAAAATTAAAACTGTTCAACATAGTACTTTATCTATAGCAGGGCCCCCGCCACCCGGGGGGGGGGGCGGGGTGGCCATGGCCCCCACCTTTTGGCGAAGCAAGTAGTTTTAAAGCTGCAGTAAAGGGGGTAAAAAGTCTGGCCACCTACTTTTTAAGCCTTGGCCCCCAATTTAAAATTCGTGGCGCCGGCCCTGTATATAATTGTGTTCTGTGAAAAAACGGAAATAATAAAACGGAAATAATAAAACGGAAATATTAGTATTTATCACATTAAAGCATTGGATAATAATATTTTTGGTATATTTTGAAATATGTTTTGCAGCTTGCCCATGAAGTTTTACGAGCTCTTCAAGGCACCGAGCAATCTTGGCTTGTAGATCTCTTATATGCCTTTAACTCAGGTATAGATGTTTATGCTTTGCTGTTTTTCTGCTCTATTATGCATTGTATATATAATGCTTGTATCTTTGCTGAACTAAACGATATCACATCAGCTGTTGAGAAAACTCTACAATCGCAAATAATGAAAGGAAAGAGTTTGGTAGATCGCGGCCATGCTGTTAAATTGTTTAAGGCCCTACAATATTTCTTTGATGTTGTTTTCGTAGGCGATATAAAGAAGTTTAGAGAACTTGAGCCAAAGTGGCAAACTCAGGTTGGTTTACAAATTAATTACTGGATGCCTTTACATCTGATATTCATGGTTTAAGCTTCATGGAAATCGTACAGGTTTTTGTCCCTGATATGAAGTCATTCAAATTTTACTTGGAAGGAGAATAAAACAATTTAGCTGCTCAGTTAGTTCCGGTTAATAGCCAATTTATGGTTTTATACCATCAGTGACCAACTACTGCTTATGTTGATTTGTTAACTCTTTTTTGATTCATTGTTTCTCTAGATGATTGATTGATTTCTTAGTTTATTGATTCTTCAGTTTCTCAGTTTTATTTTATCAGTTGATAGATTCAATTTTTAGTTTGTCAATCGACTTTTTAAACGATCGATCGATTCTATAGTTTATCGATTGGTTCATTAGTGGATTGAATGGGTTGACAGTATGTTTTCTATTTGATCAATCTGTTTTCAGTTTATCGATTGATTCTCAGTTTTTGTCGATCGATTGATTCTTTAGTTGATCGATTGATTCTTTAGTTGATCGATTGCTTCTTTAGTTGATCGATTGCTTCTTTAGTTGATCGATTGATTCTTTAGTTGATCGATTGATTCTTTAGTTGATCGATTGATTCTTTAGTTGATCGATTGATTCTTTAGTTGATCGATTGCTTCTTTAGTTGATCGATTGCTTCTTTCGCTAAATGGTTGTTTCTAAGATTTTTCTCTTACTCTGATTCATTGACCATTTTGTTGATTTTCCAATTTCACTTCCATGCAGTCCGATCTTCAGTCGAACCAGCAAAAATTAGTGGAAAAAATCACCCTTTTGGCACTGATGGAGGTGGGTTGTTGCTACTTTAACAATTCAGCTGGTAAAATTTTGCCCACCAGAAAAGTTTAGAGAGACTGCATTTGAAAATTTCCTTCAGAATTTAATGAAAATTTTCGTTATTGAATCTTATTTCTAAAATGAAATCTTTTGCAATTTTTGAAAATCATCTGCTTCACTCTAATCTTTCACACACACTAATGCCAAAATGTTTGCGTTCTACAAATGCTGTTTTAAATGTAGAAATATGCACTTTTTTAGCTATTCAAGTTGTTTGGTCTTTTCTTAGGTTTTTTAGTGATGAGATTAGAACTCTTTGCCTCAAGTGAGGACATTAGAAATGATGGCATTGACATTGTTGAACACTCTGTTCTCGTTTATTCTTAGCTGGCGTTTAAAAGGCCTTCGACAGAGAGAACAATACCATTTACCACAATATCAGAAGCGACATCTATGCCTTTAAACGAAGTAAAATAAATTTCTTAAATAGCTGTTTTGCTTTCTTAGCTATTGGTACCAGTGGAATATACGTTTGTGTAACATTGTTTTCTTCACCCCCTTCTCCCATTATCCAAGTGTATATTGGCTAAGTGACATGAGAGAATAAGGGAGAGAATAAATAAAAGTTGATAACAGGTATTGCGCTGCGCCATCTGCTTTAATCACAGCCGTTGGTATCATGCTCTTTCATTTTAAAAAGGTTTGAAAAATAGACCCTTGCAGGATCGCTCAATTACATTCTTAACGGTTTCCTTACCAAGCAGTCGATATCGTCCGGAAGAATTTTTTGTCACCCTGCTCGAAAGTGTAAAGCTTGATTTCCACTGAGGGAAAGCTTAGCGCTAATTTTACGAGAGAAACGTCTTGCTCGTGCGCACTTAAACTTTGCAAGATTTCACTTCGAACTTTTCCGTAAAATACAAACTGGCCAATCAGGGTGAATCTGTGGCCGTGATCCTGACTTCCTGGAAGGGATCAGGACTTCAGAATGAAGCAAGCCACTCATACTTTCCAGTGGCATATTTCAGATTATTGAGCCACTAGAACGTTTTGGAAAGTTTGCAATCAAGAGGCATTCATATTTGATGGGTTCATGCGAAACATCTTGTAAAAGAATTCGTGACCATTGAGTCTCATTTTTTCACAAGATTCCTAAATGTTTGTTTTTCCTTAATGGTCAGTCTCAGTCAGAAAATCAAGAACGAGGCAATAGTTCTCTTGTTTGAAATTATAAAGTTAGTGCGACGTCTAATCTTGACTAGATTGGTAGAAATCAAAACTAGAAAGTGCTGCGATCTTGAATGTTATTTCGAACTTGGTTGAGTTTTGCATTGTTCTAATGACGTTTTTGCAAAATTTTGTGAAACTGTCATTTCATTTTAGGTTAATACCCGTAACTTTTTTTTCAGGTTGAGTTAATCGTGATGAAGGCATTGTCATTAGGCCTAGTAAAAGGTACATTTTCGAAATCCTTCAACTTATTCTTGTCAGATTCATACAATAAGCTATTAAAATTTTTCAAGAAGGGTTTACATAGCCTGAAAGAAGACCTTCCTTTTACTGCAAACTCCGTTATCTGTCCACTAGGTATCCCTTGAATCAGGCTGACATTTTTTGCCATTGTTTTTTACTTGAAATTTTGTTTATGTAAAAATCCTTTAAGATTCTTTTGTTTCATATTTGATTTCTCACATTCGAATAGCCCTGGTGTTAAAGAGAAAAACTTAAATTCGCTTCAATGTTTACGAGAATTCTTTATGGTTGTCTTCAAACATTCTTCGTACCCGTGGGCTTGTCTCAATGAAACTGAAGCTGAGGCTGTTTCGAGCCCGAGGCAAATGACGTAAATCAATGCCCCTATACAAACAACACTGTATATTGCGTATACCAAGTAAAGTGCCAAACAAACTTCAAACAAAGTTTCGAGATACGTTCCGATCAATATTTCTGTTATTGTTTGCTGTTTCAGGATCAATAGACGAAGTTGACCAAGTTGTAAACATTACATGGGTGCAACCAAGGGTGCTGGATCTTAATCAGGTTAGTGGTCTTTCACTCTTAAATGTTCCGATACTTCATTATGCTGCGTTTTGGAGACTTTACCCCATAGAACCCTTTCTGGATGGGGGATGAATTGTATCAATAGACAACAGTATCAGTTCGAAAACTGATATCATAGCAGTTGTTGTTTGTTTTTGGAAAATTTGTTTACACGATAAAATCAAAATAAAACAAGTTTAAGCATTCCTTGTCTCTGTTTCCATATGAACAGGTAAGGACTTGGTTCATGTAGCAGTCATCACCAATGGCAAGATGAATTTTAAAGAAAACTGAGTTTTTAAGTTTTTTTTTCATTTCTATATCGTAACAATAGTTAGATCAGTGTGACAATAAGAAAAAATTTTACCTTCGCAAACTGTTAAATCACATTTACAAACTTCCAAAAGAACGCTTATTCGATCAAGGTTGCAAATTAGTCATATGAAGATTGTTTTCATAAACGAACTGAGAATAAGATTCCACAGATGCAGAAAAGATGCATCTAATTCTTGTTAAATGAAAATTATTTATTTTTTAGATCAACAACATGAACACTGTCCTTGGTTCTTGGTGTGAAAAAGTCAAATCATCTGTGCGCATGGTTGAGAACCAGGTTCCTGAACTTTTAGTGTCATCCTAACTTGAACAAACTGTTGCCACCTGTCTCGTTTTTCACCCATTAATCGTTGTACTCTGGTTTATCTAGCATGGAAATTATTGTACATGTGTTTTTTTCTTTTCTCATAGACAAGAGATCTTCTCTCAACCTATTGTTTTTTTTGTGAACTGAGTGATCGCCAGTGTTGAAAAATAATTTAGGCAACTTTCGAAGCCTTCAAACGTTTTATAACTAAAATTTCACAATAAATAATCTCTTTGGTCTTTGGTGCCACTTCTAATTCTTAATCTATTCTAGGAATATGTATATTTATAAAAAAACTTAAAATTTCTCTACCTGAGAAGCTACTTATGTTAGCATATGTCTTTCCGACCGGCCTGAATATATTTTTTAAATTACTAGTAGTTTCTTTGAATCTGAGTAAGGCAGATTTCCTATGTGTAATTAGACAGACTCGTTCTGTGTCGTGCTGCAAATTCTCTTTAACTCTATATACCTCACATCACTATAGGTTGTCAGCATAGAGTCACTTGTTGAAAATTTGACCTCACATCACTATAGGCGAAAATTTATATCGTTACATGTTCATCATGATTAAAACATTGGGCGTGAGGAATATATAAGGTATATATAGATAATGTACCTTGTATTCTCTGATCACCGATAGTTGAGTCCAAACGTGTACTTTCTTGAATTTTCATGATAATGAACCTTTATGTCGAACCACTAACCATTTATCAGATTTACTTCTTACAAATTAAAGAAATCTAAAGATATCTAAAGAAATTGCTTTCAAAAGCGTAAAATCAACTTTTCTAATCGCGAGGCTCAATATTAGGCATCAATTCCAAAAAGTCTTGAAGATGGCAGATAATTTTTTATGTCACTTGGGTGAGCATTTTCAGCATCGGCTTCACTGTGAGTGCCAAGATAGTGGGAAGAAACTTTCATTTTAATCTTTAACTGTTTAGGTGCTATCAAATTATAAACTTCAAAATTTTCAATTATTTATTAAAGTTATTTTTATGAACATAAGTAGACAGAAATTTCTAATTTCTGGAAATCATGGTGTCAAATAATCGATATGCATGTCATTACATTAAATGTATTAAGGTACCTCATTAAATGAAGGCGGATTTTTGTTTTTTGGTATTAAAGTTTGTTCATTATTTCAATGATAGTCGAGGAACTTATTTTTGATGTTGATGTTAGCAATGTTAGGAAAGGATTATTTTCCAACGAGTGGTTATTCCGCTTCACATACGTGTTTTACAGGTTCGTGGCCTACAAAAGAGAGGCACGCCAAGAAGCAGAACGGCCTATAGATAATTTTGGGATATTTCTTGTAAAACGCTTTATTTCCCAAGACAATCCATGTAGCCATTGTTTTAAGTATACAATTAGTCAATTGTTTTTGTCCACTCATTTCCCAGAAATAACGGTCTTTTTACAGAGACTGCGATCACGACTTGTTAATCAACAGGTTCAATTGTTGTAATCATTACAATGGAAACCTGGTGGGCATCGCAGCGACGGCCGTTGTCCTAACCAACTACTCTTTTGTACATTTAGAAAATAGTTTTACATTTAGGTAACTTGTATTTACACTTGTTGTTATTCACGTTTCTGCAGTAGTAAAGTCTTGCAAAATGTGTTGTGGTGTGGACAATTGTTCAGCCAAGTAACAACACTTAGAAATAAACAATCGAAGTTTCTTAATAATCTTGGGGCGCCGATCTGGCTCTTCAAGAAAGAATTTTTAGGGTCTTAGACAGAGGCTTTTCAACTACACATTTTAGACTCTTTTTCAGGCAAACTTTAATACCGTAATTTATCAGCGCCAATATTCGGCTTTGCCCTAGATAGAATATTTACGTTAATATAAAAACGCAAGCAAAAGTAGATTTAAGTAGAAAGTTTTCAATCATTATTAGCTGAAAGCACTCAAAGAGAAAACTTAACCGGTATCAAATAGTTGCAGGTAATCAAGGCGAAAGATTATTGACCAACAGCACAGGTACTAAACTAAGTGCCTTGCCAAGCATTTGTAAGCGTCTGTCCTAACGAATGTCTGGCTTTTGACGCTCAGGTATTAAGTTTGCATTTATTCTTAAATATTGCGAATGTGGGATGTCGTCTTTATTCTGATAATTTTATTATTGATGTCTGTTAGGCTATAACTAATAATCTGTTATTTATTTCCGTTGATTCATATGATATCGTGTTTATGGTAGCAAAGTGGGTGTTATCGCCAATGTTATTAATAACTCGATTGATAACCAACCTCTAGTTTGTAACTATTTGACTAATCCTAGATAAAAATTAGCGCAACAGGTTTAAGTAATTTGTCATAGAGATTCATTTTGCTTACCTAAATAGTTTTGTTTAAACCATTTTGTCAATCATAAAAGTGTTGAGCGTATTCGTGTCCTGCAATCATAAGAATAATAACCTGTATTCTTTTATCATTAAATACATATCCAGCTTGGAGACAATCAGCGTACAAGGTCATCGCCTTTTCTCTGTCTATTTAATAAAGCCTATGTATAGCTTTCCAAGTCTGTACATTAGTCTAATGTCATAATGTGTTTCCCATCGCCCAACTGTTAGAAGTTCGCAAAAATGTGTTTGTTGGCAGAAGTTCGCTATTACCAATACCTAAATATCAATAAAATCAATTTATAAACCCTTTTTTGCTTTTTTGGCAACTATAGATTCTTTTCATGACGAGTTCGCTCTTTTACCTCATATTCAGTTTGTTGTTTTGAATTTTATGAAATGTTTTTTCCTTCAACAGCTAGACGATGGGGACACTGAACTTCATACTGATTCTTGTTGCAATCTGCGTCGCTCCTTTGGATGCGTTTGATCTTTTCAAGAAAGATCATTTGATACCCTCCGATGGATTCCATGATGTGCTGGGTCTGGTTCCATTCTGGCTATCAGAGGGCTTCCCGGACCAAGGCCTCAAGCGTACTTTAGGAAGTAAGTTGTGCTTTTAGACAGTATATTATGATTTTGAATCCACATGCTGATGGCTTGTTTCTTGAATGAATATTGATAATGACTATCATTTATTCGACCTTCGTATGCGTTTAAAGCGTGGAAAATGCTCTTAAAACCCTGTACATTGTTAAAGGCAATATAGATTCTTAAAACCTATAGTTTCTTGATCTAGGGCTTCGAATGTGACGTCATAAAATACTCGTAACGGAATATTTCCTTTTGAAAGAAAGGCACGTTATTAAAGACCTTGCCTTGGTTGAAAACAAACGAGCTAAATATTATGAAATTTTTTTATGATGTGGAACATTGGGAAGCTGTAGTATAACAGAATAGTTTTATTTGTCAAGTTAATTGTCCATTGAACTTTGAGTAGTGCTTTTCCTTGCAGCTAACCCATTTTGACAAAGTATTCCATATTTGATCAGCCGATTAATATCCTACAGTATTCTCAAATAATTTTGATCGATGACTCAAAAAGAAAAACAAAAAACAAGTCTTAAATAGTTTCCGAGAAGGTTGTACGCTATTGGTTGCAGATCCTCCTAAAGGTATAAAAAATTTTCTGCTGCTAGTGCGCTCTTGCTACTAAACAAGCGAAAGAATTAAAGAAGAATGGCATTGTACAGAAGCTAAAAGAAAATGAGGTTTTAGTGTCTGCGTAGACATTCAGTTAAAAAACTTTACAGGAAACCATGAACAAAAACAATACAATAAAAATTCGCTACGATATTCTTCTGGCCATATATTCATCAATTTATAATAAATTAGGCGAGCTTGAATTTTCAAACTTGTCTTTGCTTCAGGCCGTACGATAGAAAAATTCCAAAATGTACGTTAATGACGTCACACTTGAAAAGCTTATCGACGAGTTATCAATGTTACTGGCTTGTGTTGAATCCACTTGAAATAGCAAACTCGCCTCGTCCACTTGATCACTTGATTGATTTGATGTCTATGTTTGTATAGAGCCATCAGTACAAACATGCAATCAGCTTTTGATGTTTATGCCCAAACCACCAAACATCTGACTGGTGATTCTTTGGTGAAGTACTTGCATCACTGAATGCGTCAGAACGTGCCTTAAGCTGAACTCTAATGCATGTTGTTATACGACGGTTCGTTTCACTTGAGAACTGTAATGAAAAGATGACCCTAGACAGACCTTAGTTTATAGCTGTGTTAGTCGGTTGTTTATGAGTATACCTGTAGTAATTCTTGTTATACTTTCTGTTGCTATAGCCAAATGCCACCGCAGCTGTTTGGGAGGCCAAATGTTTTGAACGGTGTAAAGACAGACATTCTGATCCACATCGCACATTCAGTCGAAAAAAGTTTATTCTTCTTTCTTGCTGATCCCCACCTATTGATACTCTGTTTCAAAGAACACAAAATATTCAGTCACTGCTACTTTCTATAAATTTTGTTGAATATCACTGTATCGGCTACAAAACTTCTAAATATTAAGAATTCGCACCCCAAATATTAGATATTTTCAAAATTTCGATTGTGAACTCTCAGACCCTAAATATAAGAATGGACAACCTCGGAGAGAAAACCTCCCCTGGAAACATTCTTCGTTGATGGAAATGCCTGTCGCTAACATGATATCAGAAAAGGGGTTTTTAATTTAAGTTCGCCAAACTCGTTTCAATCAGTTTGTCAAGGTTACAATTCGATGAGGTCTGAGAATCATTGTCCTATTACCTTCTTTAAAATTTTCCATATAGATTTATTAAAAGTTTCAGTAGTATTTGCTGGATATTTCTTTTAAAATCCATTTCAGTCCCCAGAATTCTCACAACCGTTTAAGCTATTTCTTTAGTCACCAAAAAGGCAAAGGCTAAACTAGGAGGTCTTTGAAATACCCACTTTGTGTTTCGACAGACTTGCAGCTACATTAGCCGCTGTAGACTGTTCCCTTACCATAGTAGATGATTTTCAATCCATGTCTTATTTTCATGCAGGAAATAACATCATTGCTTTCTTTTGCGTATTTATTGGCGATGTTGTAAATGTTAGTAAAATGACTGTTTTTTAGCCAAAAGAGACAATCTCCCCACATCATGGGAAACATTGACGTCTCAATCAACTGGTACAAAAACCTATACAATACAAGGTAGATGCAGTCTAGATGGAAAATTTGCCGTAGAAAATGCTGTCCTTGAAAACAAAAAAGTTGGAAATTGTGAAAACCCATCTCTAAAAATGGTGTTTGACAAGATATTCCCCAGTATTGATGTCATGAAAACAACACAACAGCTGATCAATCCAGACTCTTTCTTCTTTGAGAAACTCGAAATTAACAGAGGGACCAAAGAGGTGACAGTAGAGGCGAAAGCAAAAGATTCTTGGCGACTTCTAAGCGGAGATAACTTTGTTCTTGGTGGTGCCTCTCTAACACTTGGTTTTAAGGCCGGTGAACCTGTTGATGGTATTAATAGCTGGAAAATCAAAGCCGAAGGTGAGGTTTTTGGATTACTTTTTGTCTTCTCTAAATGCTCTTTTGCCTAAGAAAAAGAATTGGTATACAAGCCTGCATATTGCAAACGAAAGCCTTGAAGAGAACACAATTGTTTGACCACGCTATATTTTCTAACAGAGTACCTACATGTCTTGTCATATACTTATGTGGAAAAAAACTTGGACCATTGACGAGTTTGACCATAATTCTGTTAATGAAGGAAAATTTCTTTACAGTAATTAGCAGAGCAGTGTATACCTCTTGTCTCTTCGAATATGGCGAGGTTTTAAGAATACTTATTCTCCGATACCTTGCAGCTATGCATTGCTGCTTCTTCTAATAACCACATTGTCATGTAGCATATTCTCACAATATCCTTCATAAAACGAATAAATGAACCAAACAAAGAAATCAACCTATAAATGGCTTTGAAAAAGCAAACATTTAGTAAACTAAAGCTTTTCGTCTGACACTCTTCAGAGTTTAAAACGTCAGAACATAGATCGAAAACTCTACGCTAGGAAATATACATACCCAGTTGTGGATTGAAATAGACCAATCAGAAACACAAGCACATGACTGTTAAGGTTGACCAATCAGTGCCAATTGCCTATTGAGAATGTTACCAATGGAGTCCTAACGTGAAAATGAACTCCTTCTGTCTACACAATAACGGTTTTTTTCTTGCTTATGTAGATAGAGTTTTGTACCACCAAAAGATTATTTAATTCAACCTATCATTCGAAAATAAACTAAGTGCATTTATTCTCTTGAAAACAGGAACGGTTGGTGTATCTGCTCACAGTCTGAAAATGGTTATTGACAAGCCAAAAAACGAAGCCTCTCTACCGTTCCAATGGAAAATAGATTCCCTCCTTATGGTAGATTTGATGGGCATTTTCGGAATAACAATGTCCCAACTTAACTTTCTGGCCATTGGCCTTGATACAGGGAAGCTGGAAGGTTTGACATTTGAAAATCCAGACTGTAATGGACAAATCGATTTGATAAAAGATCCAACCCAGCGTACATCAGAAACTTTTCAGATTGTCTGCAAGGCATCGATCTCAAATTCTGCTGCTTTCAGAGCCGGCGACGTTTACTTGATTATGACAAGAGCAGCCGGTCAAGTTGTGAGACCAGCGATTGTTATCGATGTTGCAGATACGATTAACATTCAAGAAACATTGGAGAATTTCATATCTGAGGGAGCTTTCATAAGCGATTTTGCAATGCTTGGAAGAATAGAACGCAACTGCATTATCATGATAGCCAAGGATGAAATCGTCATGGTAGAAAACAAAAAGCTTATGGATGTGGTAAAGCCCTTTATAACCGAATACGACACCAAGATGATTCCTGAAGGTGTACACGTCAGAGTGATGATACCTCTGAAAGGTAATTACCTATCAACAATTGCTAGTGTCTGGCTCCCGGGTGTTTGTAGTATCTTCTCTATATCATTGCAGATGCAGCTTTCTATATCATTGCAGATAAAGTTTCTTATACTCTCTCGACTTTAAAGTAGAAAATTTTATCAGAAGATATAGAATTTTTCAAAACACAAGGATTTGAAAAACATCAAAATAGTATGCAAAATGTGAACAAAAGGAGGTACTATTTTAAGTTGCTGTTTTTGCTTCAAGGGCTAACGATTGCCAGTTTTGGTGTCAAGACTAATAGGCCTATAAATAAATAGTTAAGAAATGTAAATGATCCTTTCTTTGAATACCTGACCAGGAGACTGTTGAAAAATACTAGATTGTTTGCTTTCTCTTTTAATTTGAGGTAGATTTTGCATCTTTTTGTTTTAATCTAGGCTAAAAAATAACAAATCTTGGGAGTCATGGGTTTAATGTGCTTTAATATGAAAAATGTAAGGCACAGATCTCTCCTTTTTATTTAATACCTTAAAGGCAATCTGTCTCGTTGTGGATTGGTTAACGAGAACAATAGCTGGAACAATAGCCTAAACACGATTCCAGCGCTCCGCCATATTTTTTACAATGCCATAAGTTGAAGGGGGGCTGGAAACAATAAAAATCCCTTTGTTCTTATAACCAATCAACGTCGTTACAGATTGCCTTTAACTATGATATTTATCGGTTCCCTGCTTCAACTGTTGATTGAACTTAAAGATATATCTTTTATTGGAATGCTCTGAAACTAACACTGAACCTGCTGTAACTAACACTGAACTTGTTGTAACTTGCAGCAAATATGCAAAGTCAAAAAGATTGCAAGGAAAATTTACCAGCAGAAGTACCCGATCAGCTTGCAGTCACAATAAAGATAACAACCGGCGGGTTAAGTTTTTCATTCCCCGAGCAGTTTAAGAGCGACATGCCTAAGTTCCTGAAGTGTTTGGATCCTCAAATCAAAGCAGAGCTTCCAAGGCAACTCTTCCCCCCTTCGGCAGGACCAATTGACATAAAGGAGATAACTATCGGTCAAGGAAGATCCTTTAAGATTACAGTTGTTTTGAAAGGACCATTTGTCTTTATGGGAGGGAAGATCAAAGTTAACGATCTTGAGGTAACAATTACAAAGCAGAAAAGTGATGATCTTCATATTGCTGGTGTAACCACGATAACAGTCGGAAAATTGGCTGTTGGTTTGACATTAGAGAAACAGGGAAACAAGTATGCTTTGTCAGCTTATGTGGAAAGTTTTAAACTGGATCAACTGCAGGAGATGATTGGACCAAACACTCTGCTCGAATTTATTAGCTTGTTGGGAAACTTAAAAGATTTCGGTATTAAAGAATTCAAGCTTGTGAAAAAATTTGGCAAAGGAGAAGAGCACAAGTCACTAAGGTTTGCCTCTTTATTTTTGTATTTTTTTATATACGATGTTGTCCATGGATTGCTTTAACGATTGTTGAATATTACAACGTTGTGAGCTTTTTGGCGAGAATGAATTTCATAGCAGGGGCGTCATGACACCTGTATATCAAGAAGGCAAGCTTTCTATTTAAAGATAAATTTTCAAATGTTTTTCCAACTAGCAATCTATAAAGTATTATGTGCCATAAGAAAGTTTTCTGACTTTTTAGAATTGCTGGAAAGCCAATTCTTTGGGGCTGGGAGAACTGCTACATCGAGGGTCTCATCTGGAAGCCGAGAAAAGGCACAGATCAACCCACCACAGCCGTTGCAGTTGGCATTGTCATTGAAGGAATTCGATTGGACAAGATCATGGAGAGAATTTTCGGCAGCAATCTTTTTTCGGTTGCATGGTTTTCTGAAATGACTGCATGTAAGTGAAAGGATCTTTTGCTTCGTTGTTTCATTAGTATTTGGTGTATCCACCATATTTCTATTGTTGGTTCGGCAAGTTGGTCTGTAAAATTGCTTGAAATAGATAAAATCGCCTTTGTTTTTATCGCTAGTTGGTAAGTAGTAGTTTGAAATGCTAAAGTACATTAAAGCACTCATATTCTCTTGAAAATTTGCTTTTTAATAGGCATTTTGTATTGTGCTATTTTGTAAATTTATTGAGGCCCATACGATCTGTTACGAAAGTTTTTTTGTTTCATTTCAGTGATTATAGTTTCCAATGCAAACGGTGAGGTAGAAACGTCTTCAGATAAAAAAGGTAAAGCAAACGATGTTGGCGATGCTCAGAAAGGCAAATCTGATGCTCCGTCAACCGAAAACAGTGCTCCTGGCAAACGATCTGATATCCGCGAAGCAGATGAGTTTTATCCGGTGTTCGAACGAAGCAGAAGGAACCTTGGGCCACATTTCGCGTATTTGCGAAACATCAGAAAGGTAAAGGACCGCTCTGTTACTTTGAAATGCGTTGGCAGTGATTTTTATTCGTTAACATTCGTTGCTAGACATTATTTCTCTCAATCAATCAATTAAGTATAATTTGAAAAAATTCATTGTATTTTCAGAAACAAGGGAAGCGAGTCAGACCCATTTTTGAGCCAAACACAGGTGAAGTGTATGGAAGGAATCATGTTCATAAGAAAAACAGAAGATTAGAAGTTGAGAACCGGGCACTTCTCAAGAGAGCTGGAACGAAGCCAAAGCCTGAGAGCAAGGGCAGTGATGATAGCAAAAAAACTGACGAAGAAGGGAAGGAGGAAGAAGAAGAAAAAGAAGATGTGGTTAAATTTAATGTTCCGTATCTTAGTTCAAGAGACATAGAGAAAGGTTAGCTTATGCACATTTTCTCTGTTCTAAGAACAAATTGGGTAAATTTGAATAGTTCTAGGAATACGCCTGCAGTTCGTGAAATTTTCATTGGGGATGTTTCTGGGGATGTCTCTTTTCTGAGCAACGATCTCTCAGGGATGATGCGGATGCCTAGGACACTGAAATTTGGAACAATGTCACCCTAATTTGTTATAATCTCAATTTCAGGATTAACTTTTGTGGGGATTTTCAATATTCCACAAGACAATGGTTGTTTTGGAGATTCCTTGTGCCTTTGGCTTGCTGAAAAGGTCGGCAAGGATGCGACAATCGAGATTTCAGGAACGATATCAAAGTCAGGTTTCAAGTTTGGTGCAAAGTTTTCTGGTACTATCCCAGTAAATGAAGACGGTTCACTTGCATTGCAATCAATAGCGTTGGAACTGGAGCTAAGTGGCAAAAAGTCATCTGTTAAACTGGAATGTACATTGTATTGGAACATTCCTGAGAATCTTGGTTCCGGTCATGTGCAGTTCATAGGTTCGTTTATTTGCTTGATATTTCTTGGAACAACCTGGCCATAGGGAAAATGCAGGCAGCACTGTTTAGCAGCAAAGTAAAACGTCCAATATCATTTGGGGTTAATTTAGCTTTTCGATTGATAAAGAAACTGTGGCACCCTCTTTAGAATTTTAATGTCTTGATTCTTTTGTT